GCCGTGAATGCACCTAAACCCTTTGGTGACACCGACGGGATTAACAAAGCGCAGAGTTACCGGCTCTAAAGAAGATGTTTATTTAGGTACTGCAGGCTGCATTGCATGTATAATACAATATTACAGTAATTTAGTATTGTACAGAAATAATTAAAAACTTTACAGCTCATTACAAAGTCTCTTTGGATTTTAGCTCATTTAAAGTACACCGATCGACAGGGAATACCACAGTGTAAATAGCCACTCTTTATATACAGACCCACTACATTTACAGAACCCAACAGGAGGACGAGCTGGGAAGGGCTCTCCCAAGACACAGCGGTGGAAAAGCGAAGCGCACGTCGGCTGCGACGAGCGCGCCCGGGGAGGCTCGGCACCGGAGACGAGGATGCCGAAGGGAGGCGGGAAGGCGCCGGTTCGCAGCCTGCCCGTTATTGCTTGGAGCGCGGCTCCGGTATCGGCATCAGAATCAGTTTGGCAGGGGAAGGCGAGGGGGAGAGCAGCTGCCGTCTCCTGCCGGACAAGGGCACCGCTCCTAGCCAGCGGGTAAGGCCGGCGAAGGGGAAATGTCTTTAACGCAGCCCCGCCGCTCTGCGCCCTCTCGCTGGGTTTAAGGAGCCCCAAGCCATGTCCCTCTTCTCCCCACTGCAGCGTTCGGATGCCAGAGCCAGGCCAAGGCTTATCCAGGCCAGGCCTGGAGGCTCCGCCGCCAGTTGAACCCAGCCTAGCCAGGGGCTCATGGGCAGACAGCGGCAGCCGAGCCTTTCTCGGGGGTGAAAAATATGACGGTGGTTTAGGAGGAGGGCGGAGAGAGGAGAAACCAAAGCAAAGATGGATAAAGGAGATTTAGGAACAAGACGCTTATTTGTGACCCCAGCTCAGGAGGATTTTGTAGTGTGAGCAGTCTGCACCTGCACTTATCACGATCTCCCTTTCCCAAAAGCTGGGCAGCCTCGAGGCCGGGATGAAATCCAGCCCCTCGCTGCTTTAGCGGCCGATCCGGGGATAAGGCACTGCGAAAACTGAACTTCTTGTGCAAAGAACTGGCAGTACCAGCGTGAGGACAAGACAAGCATCGACAGAAAAGACTCTTCAACAGCTCCGTTACCACGAACAGGTCTGTACAACACCCGAGCTCGTTTCGTACAGGTTTTCACGACGGACAGGCAGGAACAAAGGGGGTTTCTTGGTTCATAGGAGAGCAAAGAGGTGTTGAACACCCCACCTTCCATCTCAACCACTGACAAAACTCTTCTTAAGGACTCGGGAAGTATTACCACACAGAACTTGTTTCCATTAGTTTTCCTCAACTAAACTACATCATTAAACAGGGAAGAGCCAAGGCCCTTGAACTGAAAAGGTATTATTTCGGACACAGAGATCAAAACACCATGAGAGAGCTGAACATCACGCAGGAAGAAGTCTTGGCTTGGTTTGAGAAAACCCAAAAAAAGTTCCTTCAAAAAAATACCATCCTCTTGGCTGACTCGGAGCAAAATGCGACCGCGGTTCGGAGCCCCGCACCCCGTGCAGAGGAAGGGAGGGCAGAGCTGCGGACACCGGGTCGGATCGTTACGTTTCCTACTCACCAACGCCATTTTCTACACCCAGAATCTGAGACCCATCCACGGTTCAGGGATGCAGAAAGCAAGCTTGCACCACCGAGCAGTCGCCCGCTACGAATTACAGTTCCTGCGTTAAACATTCTTCTTCCCTGTATAAAGTGCATGAAAATCTTGGGAAATATGCATAGCTATTAACGCGCCAGCTGCAGTTGCTGGGCGGTTCCAGTTAAGAGCACCTCCTCCTTTCTGCTGAGCGTAGAGTTCTTCTACTGCTACCGATAAAAAAAAAATATATATATATTACCTTCATTATGGTTTTAAACTGTCTTCTGGTTAGTTGGCTTAGCTGGTGCAAAGTAACAGATGGCTTTGAGTAAAGGGATGTGCACTCGCTGTGCCCAAATCCTGGAAAATATCTTTAGAAGAAACCTGACGTGCCCAGGAAAGCTGGGGTGAGCAGGAGGGAGTCGGAGAAGTCCTCTGAGAACGTCCTGGTGGCCGAATTTGATTTGTTTGGCTTTCTGGAGCTTGCGCCGCGTCGGGGCGATGCGGTTAGGATGGCTTCATTTTGGGGGCAGGTGTCAGGGTGGGATTTGAGGAGAGGTTTAGTTTCAAAAGTCCAACGAGATGGTAAAAACCAAGAGAGCTACAAGTAAAATCCTCCCTCCACCAAAGTCAACCAGGCGCTCTGTTACCAGAGCCACTTCGCCACGCTAATCATCCACTCATGTTTCAAAACATACCAGCCATATTTAAGACGTTTGCTTCCAGGACAATTTATCCTAGAGGAGGCAGGGAGTATGTTCGGTTCAGACCGCCTTTCATACCCCTCTAAACAGGCGCAGCACGGTTTTGTAACGCAACCGAGGGCGGGTGGAAGAGGAAATCCATCCCGTATCAGTCGCTGCAGCCTCCCACCGTGTGCTCCAGATGTGCAAACACTGAAATACGTCCTGACGTGCTCGGAGCTGTAGTACAAATACGGCCAGAGGAATTTATGGTGGGTAGCATAAATAGTGAACTATTAACCCAGCTGCCTTCTGCTTGACCCTTTTACTCCTGTGACTTGGATACCTTTACACTGGTCCCGCAGAACTCCAGTCTTCAGAGACAGCGGTGCAAGAAAAGAGGCTTCAAAAGGACTTGGACAGGTTCTTCCCTTCGTATCTCCCCCAAAGGGGCCACCGAGCAAACATCAAGAAGTTGTAGAGATATCCCTAAATCCAGTAAATGAAATGCTGAGACTAAATCAAAACCAACTATCAGTTAGGGGGCTGTTTCACATTAGCTAACTTTCTGCAGCACATCAGAACACAGTGCAATTAGAAAAATGGTGAAGATGGATTTTGGAAAACTTACAAGGCAGTAGAAGACACATCGTATTAATTAGCGGGTGGTCTTTCATCAGCAAGATGCTGTTGCACGAGTCGTGTCTATAAAAACAGTTGTAATTTTAAAAACCAGGATTTCAGTGTCTGAATTATTCATTACTACATTTCTCCCATCGTCTTGGCTTGAATGGACAGGAGCTTCGTGCAAAGGAAAAGGAGGAAAAACTATACACTAAAAATATTTTTAAAAGCTGGTCTGTACATTTTATATTAAGATTTCTTTACGAAAATTTAGGAACCACTGAAACTAGTTACACAAAGCTGAAAGGATATACGAATCCCTGGCAGTACTATGCATGCTGCACTGTAACCCATCCCATTTATTTCTGCTACAGATTAGTTTCTATTTTAATTTTATTCCTTCTGCATAAATGATATTAATTACAGTAAATCAGCATAATTATCTCCTTCGCTAAGCATCCCTATCTCCTTTGATGACAATGTATCTTTCCCTTGGACCTCTGAACCAGATGGCTAAGGCACTTAGATACCCACGTGCAGCACAGGCAGCGACTAGATACATATTAAAGTTTAATCATTAATTTAGCATCCTAAATATTCCCCACGTAGATAAAACGCCTATTGCTCAAGCTGTCCAACCCCCCCGTGACGACTAAACAAGATATAAACAGCTCAGAAGATAAAAGTCTGTGGCCTTTCTTGATTTGTTAGAAAACGAGCGCGCGGACGTGGATACATGCACATGTACATATACACACGTGTACAGCAATAGGGAATTTGTGCCACAGGCAGTTAAAAACTAGCAAGGATTACCAAAAATAAAATCAAGTTTTATAAAAGCCAGCCCAAACCTCCCACTTTCAAGAGAGATTTGTTTCGGGGACGACTCTTCAGCTCTTCAACCAGGTTTGCTTTCCTGCGCCGCTGGGACGGTTTAGCTGGCGACGGAGGCACCTCCTCTTTGGATCGACGCTCGGTATGGTGCTAGTAGAGCTCCTCTGTGCAACGTCAGGCGGTGGATGATTGTAAAGCGCAAACATTTCATATTTTAAAATAATAAATAAAAATAAATAGACTGGATTAATCCCGTTACAAGGATAGCGACCCTCTGCTTTGCATAACTGGTAAAAATCCAAGCGTCTCCAAAGGCTGGGTGGGAACACCGAAGCACGTAAGTGCTGATATCTCTGCAAAAATCCTCTTGGCCCAAAGGACAGAACCAACGAGAAGAAGGTCCTGCCCCTCTGGGGCAAGCGAGAGAGGATCCTGTCACGGTGAGAGCGCACGTGAAACCGATTACAGACAGCAAATTCACTCAACTCCCCTCCTTCCTAAAAAGAAGGGATCAAAAATGTTGCAGAGCGGGTCCTGGGCCTTCTCCCGTTCCCAACAAATGAGCTAGGAAGACTGTGCTGATTTCCAGAGAAGGGGAGAGGGACAACAGGACAGTACTCAAAACGGGCACTGCTCCCAGGTCACATAACCAAAGAGCTGTTGCTTTTTTAAATAAAGGGGGTTTTGGGCTTCTTTATTTCCAAATAAAGTTTTATGTTCACTTCTCTGCCTGTCTGGAATCATCACAACCTTGCCCTTTCACCATGTATTATGCGATATGGACACAGCTCTTAGGAAATCAGAAAAGAACTGTTATGTTGGGGAGGTTTTTGGGGTCGTTTTTTTTTGAGAATTGCCAGTCACACCGAGAAAAGCACTGGCGCGTGGGTAGTATTTTGTAGCTATTGGAAAGCCATGCCGTAATTTGAACAATTTACACCTCTCTTCCTTCTCTGAAAGGTGGAAGAGAGCTGAGCTTACACCCACCCACCGCCACGAGCTTTCACCGGCTGCCATCAGTCACACCCTGAAGTGTCACAGTTTGTAACAGGAAAAACGAAGGACGTAGATCCAGCACCATGACAAGGCGAAGAATTAACATGTCAATCACCCGAAGCAGAGGGAAAAAAACCTTCATTAGTGTTTGCCACAAACTAGAAGTTCACATGGTTGGTTTAGCTTCCCGAAGCCAGAAGACCTGCTCCCCTGCCCGCGTTGCACGGCGTTTGCTGCGGTGGGCAGGGCTGCCTCAGTTTGCCCAAGATTTCCTGTTCTCCGCATTTTTCTGGCTCTTCTCCAGTCGCGGCGTGGATCCTCCTTCTGATTTTGCCAGGGCTGTGAGCGAAGCCAGGTTGGAGGCCGACCCGGAGAAGTTTCCACTCCTCCTGTTCTCAGCAGTGGCTCCTCCTTGCAACCTCAATCCGGTGCTCCGCCGTCTTGCTGGTCCCATCGCCTTTTTAACTCTGCCTGGTTTCACGAGCAATCCATAGCCTGGGTTGCACCTGAAATACTGCTTCCCTCCAATCGAGCCATCGTTCTTACCTTTGACAAGAAGAGAAAGAAAGATGATAGACAAAATGGCTTTTATTCTGTGCGTAAGGTGTGCTACTAGGAGGATACCAGAAGAAGAAAGCGAGAAGAAAATGCTGAGAAAATGACTGTTCCCTATACAGACACTGTGAAGGTAAACCTCCAGGAGGAGAAAGCACTATGGGCACTAGAGGACAAAGCTGGTACGAGGGCAAACAAATCTGAAGATCGCTACGATACACTTATTGATATAAAGACACATCGTCTGACTACCAGAGGAGTAGAGAGGCGGGAGTAGCCTTTCCACAGGAGTGAAGATAAAAAAAATCTGTTGGTTTTATATCTGAACTTGATAAAATTATAAGATTAGAGGAAGGAGCTGCCTGCGACCGCAGAAGGCTGGACTTGATTCAGGTGGCTCCTAGCTGCTGGCTTGTGCTCCAGTGCCACCAGTACGCTTGGCTGCCCAACACCAGCAAAGCCATTGCATGGAGACGGTTACTCTGAACGGGACACTCCGCCTTATCCTTCCTCCCCGCTTGCTATTCAGGGGAATTTTTTAATTTCATCAGAAGTGACATGGTTTAGAGGTGGACCAGGCAGGTTGGACTTGATGATCTCAGAGGTCCTTTCCAACCTTAACGATTCTAAGTGTTAAATAACCAGTTCAGCAATAGATGCATTAGCAAACTATCAGGAAAGAAGGAAAAAAACCATTTAAAAGAGCCTTTGGTTTTCTGAGTTGATGAGACACTGAAGTTGAGAAGAGTTACTGTTTCCATGTCATAAAACTTCCGCAGAAGAGAAAGAATAATTTCTTTATGCTGACGCTGTTAAGATCTTTCTATTTCTCCCTTTAGATCATTTAAAATTCTCACAATCACTGTTCTGGGTACCGGCACAGAGACTGCTCCCATCTGTAAAGGGAATGCGAAAAGACACAACAGCTCTTTAAATGACATAAGGTCACCCCTTTTGTTTTACGGGTGTTTCCTTCTCTTTACCACCATTACCGCATTGGGTCCGATACACCCTCACGTGACCGAGGACTTGGACTTCTACCCCTGTTTGTAGTGAGACAAAGACACAAGTTTGTGACCGTATTTCCCAAGTGAAGCTCCAGATGTGCTAGAAGCCAGTTATGCTCTGACAAATCAGGGGCTTAATCCGTGTGGAAACAGAAGGGAAAAAAAAAATATCCAGTAACATCAGAGTTGGGTCCTCAGCAGACCAAAAATCTTGTAGCCGTTCAACTCTTCCATGGACAGCGAAGCTGATGCTTACCGGGTATGTGCAAACAGCTTAACAGAATTAGCGCTGTGGACTAGAGTAGCCAGACAGGGAGGGAAGGTGACTTTCCAAAATTGAAATGAATCTGTAAGTAAATATTTTTTTTTTTTTTTTTAAATAAGGCATGAATTCAGGACTGAGAATTGGGTCTACAACATTCAAAGGGATGAGAGCTACAGTTTGCTTTCCAGGATGGCAAACTCCAGAGAGTTTTCTGAAAACAGCTGAAAACACACCTCCCAGTTTAGCTTTTATGAGCACACTGTGCGCAGGGAAGATAACTGCTCATTTAATGGGAGTTCTGGATCCTTGACACAGTATTTATCCTGGTGAACAGCTCCAGTCCCAGGGAAGCGTGCAGCAGAGACGAGCATGGGCAACTCCCTGGGACGTGCTGATTCACCAAACAGAGCCTGCGCTGCAGACCTGGAATGCTACAGCTTGGTTAAAAGGATTTAAATAAGCAGCTTTACGTGCTCTTGGGAAACTGAACCCTCTTACCATCAAAGGCAGAGGTATCTACCGCTTGTCTCTTGAATTTTGCACTAGCATGCCCTGCCTTCCCCCAATCCTGCCTGCTCTTGGAGAAAACGAGTGCCATAGAAGTGGATGTGAACCTGCAGAGGAAAGGAGTGACGAAGCCTGGGGCTCCAGCAGAGAACAAATGCCAGACATCATCTTTCTTTCATCTCCCTCACTTTAAAGGGCCTATGCTGAAGTCGCTGTTTTTCTGCATCATACTACAACAGCACCTACAAATACAGCCTCCCCAGGAACAGCACCCTAGTTTCCAAAAAAGTATGTATTGGAGCCTAAATTCTGCAAAGTCTACAGTTCTACAGGTAAGAGTCAGACAGGAATGACATGAGAAGCTGAAAGAAACCTTAAATCATCTGTATGTCTGGGCAGTCAATGTATGATTATTTCCTACTGGTTTTCATATACATAGGTACGCACACACAAATAGTCTTCTGTAATTTTACATCTTATTTTAAAATAGCTTGTGAGAGACTAGGTAACCTGTTAGGAGACTTTGCGTCTTACTTAGCCTAAATGTTCCTTTGCTCATTTGAATCCCACAACTCCTGTTGCGCTTTGGACACTCTTATCCTCAGAGCAGAAGCCCAGAAAAGAACTCTTTGGACACAAGGCGTATCTCCTTGTCCTGCTTTCAGCTGGGACAGAGTTAATTTTCTTCCTAGTAGCTGGTATAGTGCTGTGTTTTGGATTTCGGGTGAGAATAATGTTGATAGCACACTGATGTTTTAGTTGTTGCTAAGCAGTGTTTATACTAAGTCAAGGACTTTTCAGCTTCCCCTGCTCTGCCCGGTGCACAAGGAGCTGGGAGGGGGCACAGCCAGGACAGCTGACCCGGACTGGCCCAAGGGCTATGCCATACCGTAGGGCGTCACGCCCAGTATAGAAACTGGGGGGAACTGGCTGGGGGACAGCGATCGCTGCTTGGGGACGGGCTGGGCATCGGTCAGCTGGTGGTCAGCAATTGCATTGTGCACCATTTGTTTTGTATATTCTTTTATCATTATTATTAGTATTACTTCCTCTTCCTCTGCTGTCCTATTAAACCCTCTTTATCCCAGCCCACGGGTTTTACTTTTTTTTTTACATCCCACCCGCTGCGTGGTGCTCAGTTGCTGACTGGGGTTAAACCACAACACTCCTGCAACTACATACTTACCAAGCTGCATTGTAAACGCAATTCTGATTCCTACCTCCACTGTAAGAAGGCAATGAAATAACTGAAAAGGGACACGATTCAGTCAGAGGTCAGCGAGACCAGGTTTACAAAGGCAGACCAGAAAAAGATTACAGTAGATCTTTCCATCTTTCATGTTTCCCTTCTCAAAATGCACCCAGTAATGGCTAATGAACCCTCCCTCATCAAGAAGTAGCATTAAAATGAACACTGCAAACTCTGACACGCTGTCTGCTTTACACCCGGTCTAGATCATACTTTACCTGAAGGTAAATCCAGTTCAACACCAACCCATGTTCCCTCTTGAAAGTCTGTGGGCCCAATATATCTAACGGTGCCCGTCTTATTTGCGCCAACTGTGACATATTCGCCCTCTTTCAGCCACTCGGGAATTTCATTGGCATCTTCAGAGTCAGAAGTTACCTCCAGTTTTTCTTCTGCCATCTCTGATCCATTATGGTTCAGTCCACGGGCAGCGGACGTGCTCTTTTCTCCTTCTTGCTGCTCTTCTGTGTTTAGTGAATACATGGGATCTGTTCCCAGTATGCTTGTGAAGGACTTCAGCTCTGATGTCTTGACTTTCTGGATTTTGAAGGGGGAGGCTGCAACACCCGGCTGGGACAATTGGTCAGGATGAATCTGTGGTTTGGGAAACCCCAGTTCTGAAGACCCAGAAGCCATTTCTTTTTTCCTAGCTTGTCCTGCTGACTCTGTTGATTGTTTGGATAACAACTCCTTCTTTGGAGTGGAGGTAGAAAGAAAGGTATTTGCATCAGCGGCTACAGAGGCATCACTTGCCTGCTCACTTTGAGTCACAGGAGATGCGCAAAATTTTGATTTCAAAGCATCATTTCCATTCACTTCAGTGCTGTCCTTAGGTCTTGCGTGGGTGCTCTGAAGGCTGAAGGCGGGTTGACTGTCTCTCTTAGTACTGAGACAGCTTTCTGAAGAACTGTCCGAGTGCCCTGGTGTGTCAGAAGAGACCTGAGCCACAGCAGGCGCTGGGAAGTCACTCACTGCAGGCGTTTGACCCCCTGGCTGAGCTACAGCATCACTTCCCGCCGCAAGGGCTTCAGAGAGTGTGGCTGTCGAGACGCTGTGAGAAAAGTACCCGCTGGAGGCTTCGCTCAGAGGACTTGGAGGTCCTTCCTGGGAGTCCTGCGCCTGGGCGTCTCCCGTGGGCTGCTGCAAAGGCACTTTGGGGGTCTTTTCTGGGCTCTTGTCCGCCTCAGACGTCTGCACTGCCGTTTCCAATGGCTGTTTCCCTACTTCCTCTTGGTTCATCTGAAACAGAGGAGGACAGTGACTGTGGAGCTCCGTTATCCAAAATATGTGGGCAAAAAGGACAGATACAAGGCCTCTGGGAAGTACTAAGGCCTCCAGCTTATCTAAATCCCTGTGTAGCTGCAATCTCCAAAAGATGCAAGCTGATCTGAAGTGAGCTTTGCAAACCTGGTAGGATTGTCAGCTCATTTCTTCCATTAATAAGAAAAGTGTCGACTAAAAGAAATACGTTCCCCAATATTTACTGAAAAATTATTTATATTACAGGAATGGTCATTTGGTGTTTGAATAGCAGGATTTATATGAAATGTGAAAGAGCCATGATCTATAAGTCTCTCTGTTATTTGGCTTAACTCTCAGGACTGATAAATCATGCCTCTCCAACTAAACTGTCATTTATGTCCCCGTTTCCAAATGCCATTCCCACCTCAATGCCGCCAGCACCACACACTTTCAGAGTATGAAATTAACTGCACCTCATGAGATTAACAGCCCATTTTAGTGATGTATTTCTTGGCTGTAAAGTTTACTAAATCTGATAGATCAATATCTTTTGCCAGCACATGTACTCTAAAAGATTAGGATGTCTCTAAATCTCTTTGGGAGGGAGGGAGGAGGCTGCTAATATGAAGGGGAAAAAAACATGGTTGGAGGACAGCAGATTTGTACATACCCTATCTTAACTCTCAGGTGTAGGCTTTTGTTTACTGTTCAAAATGTTGTGGTTTATCCCATCTAGTGGTTAAGTGTCCCAAACTACAGGATTTTCACCTTATTCTGAAGTGTCTCTTCCACTGGAAACGTAAGCGGCATTTGAAGAAAGAGGGATTTGATTGAGTTACAGGAATTTCAGAACCAAAGGCTAGCTTGCTACTGCTAAGTGAAATGTAATACAGAAAAGTTTTTAGAAATATTCCTGCAGATTAAAGACATATTTTTAGCTTTTCTACGGAGAGGGTAGTGTATACACGGACCCTGGAGCTCTGCTCTTTCTTTGGGCCTTCCCTTTTAAGCGTTCAGATAACACACGTTTTGCTAAGACAATAAAAGCACAGTGGGAGAAAGCTGATTTGCTATTCATAAGACTGAGGTTCTGCCGAACTGTGGGAGATCATAGGGTCTATTTGCTCTCCAGCTTAGCAAGAGCCTTTTTTTCACGCCGATATCATGAATTGGCTTGAAATGTAAAATTGAGAATGAAGCTCAACACTCAGAATAACAGACACATTCTGTTTATAGAAAGCGTCAGAGCCTTGCAATTTGCCTTTTAAAGCAGCAAAACAGCTAAATTTTAGCTAGTTAACTGCTAATGCAATCACATGATTAACCAGGCTTTCAAATATAAAAGTGTAACCAGTGATATGAGGGGAGATTTTACCAGGACCTAAGAAAACACAGCAACACCCCCTGCATTTAATCGTCTCACAGTGAAGCAACAGCACAAGTGCAATAGGTTTTAAGTAGCTATCCCAGCAGTTGCTTTTGCCACCTCTGCTTTCCAGGCATGTGAATATGAAAATTGTATCATCACATCCTGGGATGTGCTTACCTGTTTTATCCTTGGAGCGCTGGCATCAATACTGGCAGACTGAACCATAATTCGTGGGACAGCCTGAAGGAATGAAAAAACACAGAGCATCGTTCACTTAAAGGATTAAATATCGTCAAACTGGTAAACATGAAAACTTACACTTGAAATTTTGGAATCGCAAACCTTTGTCACGAAAGGACAGAGCATTGCTGTTTTATTGCATTCTGACCACATACTCTGAAGGGGTAAAAACCTTAACCAAGGCATCCCTGAATTTTATCACGTAGGCAGCTACAAGTACAAATTCACAGGGTACAAAGTTTTCTTTTATGCATTCAGGTAAAGACACAGCACTGAGCAACCAGATGCCAAAGAGATATGAGGTCGCGCTGGTCTGGCTAGTGAAATCCGCAGCTTCAGTCCATCTCCAAAACTCTTCCTCCATCTCCGGTATCTTAATTCAGTTTAGATTTTAGCATTGTTCACTTTAACTCAAAAAGGAAGGCAGAAACAAGATCTCTGCAGCCTCTTTTCAAAGAGGGCATCGCTACTGCCTGCTAGAGCGAAGATTTCATGTGCCACTTGCTAATCACAATATACTCGTCCTGCGTCAGAAGAACCACTTCTGTGTTTCAACGGTATCTTCTCTTTTATAGCATGGGGCTTGATATGAAGGCATTGGCAATAAATGTCCCTCATTTGCTCCGTATTCAGGCTTTTATGTTAAAGATTTGAAATAACCACGCTCCTAAGACTATAACGGCGAATTGTGACACTTGACTACAAATCTTAGGCGAAGCTGTCAACTTGGGCCATCATGCACTGTTGACACAGGAGGGAAAGGGACCACCAGTTCAATGGAGAACCTTGGGAAAGGGAAGCATGAAGAAAAGGAGAGAGGAGAAAAAGGTAGAAACACCTCCCTTTAGCACAGTTAAATACCATACTGCAAGGGCAGGTTCATACTTTC